TATGGCGTCATTATCAAACATTGTCTAGTCTCGTTCTCCTGCAACTCCATCGCGTCTTGGCCCATGTTAAACACGTAAAGACCAATGTTGTTGTCAGGGATCGAGGTTTCCGTGCCTGCATCATGCTCCGATCGGTTTTCAGGAGTTCTTTCACCCCACGAGTCGTATTCAGGCAATGCAGAACTACAGCTGGGAACCGTTTTTTCGGCTGCTGTAGACTTTTTGCCAGCTGTCGAGTATGCCCCAGGGCAAGCGTCCCCTTTCGAGAAATAATCATCAAGCGTTATTTTACGGCGCTTCGGCGTGGCTATCAACTCCCATAAAAGGGCGCTCATTGACACAGAACATGAACTACCCACCAGTAAGTGTAGGCAGCGTATTTCAAGGGGGTGACTTCACATTGCTACGAAGCAATGCGCCCAGAAAAGCTGAGTTCTGGCAGTGACGCTGAATGCGAGAAACGAGAACTTTAGAGACGATACTTGTCAGTTAGTAATGTTCCGTCTTAAACACTAGCGCTTGTTTCTCTCCTGGAGGAAAGATTCGTCGGTATACATTTCCTCGGCTTCCCTTCAGGTGCCGGTAAGGTAGTGCTTGCCCAGTATCTTAGATTGCGCGCGAAACACCTCGCGTATGTGACAGCACAGCACTCCTACAGAAAGGCGGTGTTCTATTGCATTGTGATGCATACCACACACGTGAATGGACGCTAAGGTGTTGATGCCAGCAGTGAAGTTTTAGCGACTCGCATCAGAATGCCCGAAATAGACAAACGAAAGGCACGGATGGTGCACAGTACATTGTGTTGCATGCGCTAGCAGTTCTCGTCGGAGTTCACGCATTCTGGGAAATAAATTATGATGCATTATGCTCTGAAAAGGACCGGAATTCATTCCGTCATCACTAGTGAACTGATCACTGCAAACATAAATGCACGTACTAGTAAAAGCAGTGTATACAATATGTATCTAGGCTGCGTGGTTAAATATTCTGCCCGGTTCTGAATCTGTTGACGTAAAACGGAATTACGGCTGCACGCTTGCAAACAACGGAAGAAACCTTGCCGGGACACTATCGTTTCAGAGAACAGAGCAACGAAGTCTAAGAAAAAAAAAGAGGACATTACGCCTTTTTGCGCATTTAAGTTTTCTTGCGCATATACTCAACGAACAAGCTACTTCTATATGAGAGTATGTACAATCTGGTCTCAGGTGCATTTTCGATTGAGACCAACTGAACATTTCTCAACGATGATTATGCCCCGCTGCGGTGGTCTAGTGGCTAAGGTACTCGGCTACTGACCCACAGGTCGCGGGATCGAATCCCGGCTGCAGCGGCTGCATTTCCGATGGAGGAGGAAATGCTGTAGGCCCGTGTGCTCAGATTTGGGTGCACGTTAAAGAACCCCAGGTGGTCGAAATTTGCGGAACACTCCACTACGGCGCCTCTCATAATGATATGGTGGTGTTGGGACGTTAAACCCACTTATCAATCAATCAATCAATCAATCAATCAATCGATCGATTAATCAATGATTACCTTGCTCTTGCAGATTGCACGATAAAACCTCGACGATTGGAGTAATTCATTGCTATCAAAAGTCACAGTGCAACTGTATATTGTTAACCAAAGTTGCGAGAAAGTCGGCCCGAAAATTAACGCGTGTGAAATTGTGTTGCGAACATGCAGCATAACTTACAAAAATGGCTTGATGCGTATCACAAGCAGCTCGGACGCGCCCAGTAAAGTAAAAAAAAAATGTTGACTGAAAGCTATCACTGGGTCAGTCAGGACTGCTTGACATATAGAGCGTAACATAAAAATCATTCCCAGTTGCATGCAGTCCCAAACATCAACAGCAAGAAATTATTTGCTCAGCAAAGTATAACAAAACCAAAACGTAATTATAATGGTACGAAAACATGCTGCGTATACCTTTCATTCCTGGTTGTAAGCGGAGCCGCCCTTGACTTGTGCAACGCACTTTGCCATGATGAGGACTACACCATCCACGCTTAACAGAAATTAAATTTAACGATGTCTTCTCCGATCGGGCGGGTTATCGCAGCGATGCGTTTTCGAAGACTAGTCCATTCAAAGGTGCGACGAGGGGCCGTGTCTACAAACGGTCACTCTACCTGTCGTTTAGTGTATTTTGCTGCGATAACGTTCTAAGGACGCCAACATCATTTTAATACATAAGAAAGGAGACGTCAAAGACTTGAACAGCTATAGGCCTATCAGTTTGCTGTCCGTTCTCTACAAAATATTCACAAGAAGAATATAACAGAATTAAGCCGACATTAGAGTTCAATCAACCAAAGAACCAAGCAGGATTTCACACAGGCTACTCCACAATAGACCGAATTCGTGCTATGAGTCAGGTAATAGAGAAATGCGTGGAATACAACCGACCCCTATACGCAGCTTCAAAAGATTACGAGAAGGCGTTCGACTCGGTCGAAAAATCAGCAGCAATGCATGCACTACGGAATCAGTGCATCGACGGGCACTACATAAACATACCCAGGTGCACGTCGAAATTTCCGGAGTCCTCCACTACGGCGTCTCTCATAATCAAATGGTGGTTTCGGGACGTTAAACCCCACATATAAATTACATAAAAATACTGGAAAAAAATCTACAGTGAATCCACAGCCATCTCAGCTCTTCATAAAAAAAGCGACAAAATCCCAATAAAGAAGGGTGTAAGGCAGGGAGGCACGATCTCTTCAATTCCATTCACCATGTGTTTACAAGAGGTTTTGAGGACCCTAGATTGGGAAGAGTTAGGGATAAGAGTTAATGGAGAGTATCTTAGTACCTTGCGATTCGCTGATGACATTGCCTTCACGAGTACCTTGGGGGACGAGCATTAAACTGGACACTGAAAGCAAAAAAAGTAGTTTTGTGCATATTTAATTGCAGACCTAAAGTAATGTGCTACAGTCTCGGCAGAACACAGCACTCTGCGATAAGTGGAGAGATGCTGGAAGTTGTAAGGGATATGTTCACTTAGGACAGGTAACCGTGGAACCAAACCACGAGTGTGAAATAACTAAAAAATAAGGATGGGGTGAATCAAATTCGGCAAGTATTCTCAAATCATGAATGGTTATCTGCCACTAACACTAAAGAATAAAATATATAACAGCTGCATCTTGCCGGCATTTGCCTACGGAGTAGAAACCGGGATGCTTACAAAGAGGGTTCAGCTTGAAGTTAGGACGACGCAGTGAGCAATGGAGAGGAAAATGATAAGTATAACATTAACAGACAAGAGTAAATGAACATGGGCCGGACACGTCGCACGTAGGAAGGATAACCGCTGGTCATTAACTGACTGGATTCCAGGAAAAGGAAAGCGCACGCGGGGACCGAAAGCTAGGTAAGCTGATGAGATAAAGGAATTCGCAGGTACAACGTGGCAGCAGAAAGCACAAGACCGGGTTGATTGGCAGATCATGGGAGAGGCCTTTGACCTGTAGTGAGCATAGCCAGGCTGATGATGATTATAATTACTTTTACTTACTCCCTTTTCAAGCGTAATAATAGAGAGAGGGGGAGTCTCACGACTTTGATATTTACATGTACACGATCTGCTCAAATTACCACTGATAGTCACGCGTCCCCCCTCCCCCAAAATTTTTTTTCTGGCTACGCCTCTGAATGTGTGATTACCTTGTTTCACTGTTTGGCGCCTATAAAACAAAATAAGGTGAACAAAAAGCTTGCCGTGCAAATTCCCAACCTACTCAACAGCTACTACAGAAATCCTACATTCCGGAATTACAAAGCAGACATTTCGAAAAAGGATAAAAGAATTATTACTTTCATAGGACCAACACTAAAGTTCATCTACTAAGCTTATTATTCTACACCAATCCTTTTCTTTTCCTTGGCATTCAATTGGTGAACACTATCATGTTGTTTTGGGTTACTTTTCACTCATGTTCTTGCTCGAGAGTTTGTGGTGCTCATTAAATACCTGTCGAACTGTATAACATTGATGTTTTTACTTGTTTTCGTTTATTGGCTTTAATTTTGACGAGTTGTACATTTCATGCCCGTAAAACAAGTGTGATGTTGAATTTCATGGTTGCAAATGTCGTCTTTATGACGCTGCTGATGTGGCACAGCCCAGTCAGGCAACGTTTGCCTCCATGCAGGCTTGTACACTAAGAATTTACTAATACTGTTCAAAATAAACAAAAAAAGTCACAGATTTGCCGCAAAGGCGAAGCCATGAACGCGATAGCAACAAATCGGATTGTCACGCGCAGAATGGCAAGCAGATCGAAATGTGCCCCCCGTTTTTCATGCACAAATGACGCACGAAACGTACTCACAGGTACAGATGAACGCGAATAGGCGTCTCAGATGCTTCGCTGTGTCTGAAAAGCACGTCCTTTTCGCAAATGGAGGCTGTGCAATGATTGCAGTGACCTTTATGTGGTAACTACAACAGAATCGTTCCAGTGCAAGCCGAACACCAGCCAAGACGTATGATCCTCCCCACCAGGAGATAAGGGCCCGCACGTGAGCGTCCGCCCCCTCCTCTCCGAAGGCCAAAGTACGCGTGAGAGATGAGAGCCGCTGCACCTGCAGTGGGCCATCTTGCTGATAATACTGAAAACACAATATCTCCCCCTCCCCCGAGATGGCCACCGGCAGTGGTAAGTGGTATATATAGATAGCTTGCCCTTTGAACGTTGAAGGAGGTACCCCTTGGTAGCTCAGTGATTAACGCCTCGCACTCACGACGCGAAGGTCCAACGTTCGTTTCCGCATGCCGGAGCCTTTTTTCTGGATTTTTTTCTTGCGTTTCCATATATATATATATATATATATATATATATATATATATAGAGAGAGAGAGAGAGAGAGAGAGATATGCGTATACATACACGGTGCGTGACATCGACGCATGCGGCGAAATCCAGCCGTGAGTATCCATATAATTGCTATCGCAATAATAAATAAAGTTGCGGCGTCCTCACCGGTGTCGAAGGCACCGAAGCTGATCCCGCCGAAGAAGACCATCACGTGCGCCAGCGGCAGGCTTCCGCTCAGTGGAATCATGAACACCGTCACGCAGGCAATCGCCATTGTCAAGATGGACATGGTCTGCACGTTGTACGTGTCGTACAGCTTGCCACCTGAAAGAGATGTGTGCATGTCTCAATGTCAATAATGCCAAGGAAAGAATAGCGGATGTTATTAAATGCGAAGCATTTCCTTGTGTACTGCTAGCACTTTTGTCGTCTGTTTATCTATCCGCTTATGTCTGGGTGCTGTCGTGATCACCTCCTTAACTTGATGTCAACCAGAATTAGTGTGAAAAAAGAATATGTTTTGACGAATATGAAGCGCCGGTCAAGACATGAATAATATGAAAATCTCGTCGTAAACACTTTTCGCACATACCCGCTGACTAGTACGTGCCACAGGTGATTGACACCTCGCATCTACCCAGGAACGACGAGAACACACATACGTAATTTGAGCGATAAGACCTACTTGACATCGGCAGCATGCAAAGAATAAATGTCGGAGTCCAAGGAGGAATCAAATCCCCAGCATTTTGCGTGACAATCAAGCATTCTACCACAGAGCCACGCCAGGCTTCAGAACTACTTTTCAAATTGACCTATGATGCTCATGAAACGGCAATTGTAGTTGCAGTGTTTGCTATTAAATTTTATCAATACTCCTATGATACAGCCGTCATGTCGGTTTAACATCAATTTTAGTTAGGGACCATGCGCTGACGTTTAGTTATGTGGCGGTGTCCAGGGCTACCATCCTTGCGAGTACCACTGCTTCATATCAGCTTATCGCTTCTCGTGTTGCTAATACTCATGTTCCTATTAGCATAGTTGCGCAAGTGCAAAAAAAAAAGAAGGTTATGCAAATGTCCGAAACTGTTCAACTTATGCCTGTGAGTGCAACATTTGTACATATTGTTACCTTTAGTAATGTGTTTATTACGCTGTGGCGTACTGGTAGACTTCAAGGGGTCGTGCACCGGAGGCCTATCTCACTAGCCGAACGTCCTCTTCTCTAATCTGCCTCTTTCCCGCTACCCAGGTGCACATACGTAAATTACATATGTGGTAACATTTACTTCCGTGCAGACGAAGCTCACTGGGTGAGTCAGACAGTCTCTCGAGGAATAAAGCGCTTCAAACGTGCAACATGGGCAAGTTCAGTTTTTGCAGACCATCGGCTGTTCGAATGGAGACGCGCTATGCGGTAAATTAAATCACTGATACGGTCTCTGATACGGTCTAGAACAAGATAAGGCCCCGCATAGTGCGCTAGCAGTTTCTCGCTCAAACCGCGTTTTCTAGTTGGTGTCCACAGCAACACTAGGTCGCCGCGATTGTACATCACGTGTCGGCGTCGGTGGTCAAAATGTGCCTTTGAGCGGTCTTGCGAAGCAAGAGTGCGCAAATAAGCAAGGCGTCTAGCTTTCTCTGCCCGACAGATGATCTCGGATATGCAGGGATCATGGTGGTACAAATACGGGAAGGTGGAGTTAATTTCCTCCTCCTCAACTAGCTTCAACACTAGCTAAGGAGAGAAGATGTTTGAGGCTCGGAATGGGTCCCCTCGATGACTCGAGTGCACGGTGGCAGCGCAAAGGGAGAGCCGTAGTCCGGTGAAAAGACGCTTTATTGCAGCCTCAGGCGACTGCCCGAGTCCAAACCCGAACCTCCGCTCTTATTTCAAATTAAAACATCCTCTTTTCAACCCTCGGTTGAACAAAGAGTCTTCACAAACACCAATCACATGTTGGGACTCGCATCATCACAACCAATCGCAGAAACACCTTCATAAGAGGTACTACATTGGTTAAAACCACGTTACCAAATAAAACACGCAAAGGGATAGGTTCTGCGCGTGTGACACTCTCTCCCATGCCAGGCCGTGCTGCCTCCGTCGGCCGACTTCAGTTGGCAGCCGTTTTCACGCTCGAGCCCCGTCAGTTCTCTCATTAAATGTTGCTTCGTAGAAGCCTCCTTAAGAGCGGTGGCTACACCGTAGGGCTCCGTGCGCTTACCAGGTGTGCATGCGACAGCGAGGCGCCCCGACATCCTAACAACAGCGGGGGAGGTCATGCTTGTCTCTCTGCCGCTACTATGTCTGGGTCAGCCAAGTGGTCACGTCCCCGCGTCATTCTCAATGGCACGCGTGCATGCCAACAATGGCTTAAACTCAGACGGTGGCGCCTGACCTACCTCTTGCCAGACGCTTTTCCGAGCAAGCTTCCCCCATCTAATCCCGAACAGGGGCGACCTTGACGGCTCCGTTCGTGGACTGTGCGAACGAAGAAGTCTCATGCTCGGGGTCTTCCGCGTTCGCCTTCGCGGAACCGATCGGCTTCGCTAGTTGACGGGTCGGGACCTGGCTACGCACTCTACATCAACCGCATGAATTGCGCTGCACCCAACACGCTGGTAATTGGTTCCTCATACTAACTGATCGTGTTCAGGGTATGACGAGGTGATCCAGCATATAGAAGAAAGAAAGGACTGTCGCCGGTAGTTTCAAGCTGTGCGGTGTTGAATGCATATGTGATAAAAGGTAGAATACTGTACCAGTCCCTTTGCATGCTCTCCAAAGCTTTTCTGACTTCTTCTATCATTACTGGTGGGGTGTAATCTGGGTTACTGCTAGTTCTTACAGTATTAAGGTCGAGGTTGTCCTGGCTACTGTACAGATCCCTGTAAAACTCCTCCGCTATCTTAACTATCCTATCCATATTGGTAGTTATTTTGCCTTCTTTGTCCCTTAGTGCATACATCCGACTTTTGCCTATCCCAAGTTTCCTCTTCAATGCTTTGACACTTCCTCCGTTTTTCAGAGCGTGTTCAATTCTCTCCATGTTATACCTTCTTACATCGCATACTTTACGTCTATTAATCAACTTCGAAAGCTCTGCCAGTTCTATTTTGTCTGTTGTACTTGACACTTTCATGATTTGACGCTTCTTAATTAGGTTCTTCGTTTCCTGGGAAAGCTTGCCAGTGTCCTGTCTAACTACCCTGCCTCCAACTTCCACTGCACACTCCATAATGATACTCGTCAGATTATCATTCATTGTATCTACGCTAAGGTTGGTTTCCTCACTAAGAGCCGAGTACCTGTTCTGCAGTGACACTCTGAATTCCTGTACTTTCCCTCTCAGTGCTAGCTGATTGATTGGCTTCTTGCGTATCAGTTTCTGTCGTTCCTTCTTCAAGTCTAGGCGAATTCGAGACCATACCATTCTATGGTCACTGCATCGTACCTTGCCAATCACTTCCACATCCTGCACGATTCCAGGGTGTGCACTCATTATAAAGTCTATTTCGTTCTTATTTTCGCCATTAGGGCTCCTCCATGTCCACTTGCGGTTTTCTCGTTTTCGGTAGAAGGTATTCAAAATCCGTAAATTATTGCATTCTGCGAATTCTACTAGTAGCTCTCCTCTGGCGTTTCTATTACCGATGCCATAATCTCCTACTGCCTGGTCTCCAGCCTGCTTCTTCCCTACCTTTGCATTAAAGTCACCCATCACTATAGTATACTGTGTTTTTACCTTACTCATTGCCGATTCCACGTCTTCATAGAAGCTTTCAACTGAAGCGTCATCATGGCTGGATGTAGGCGCGTAAGCCTGTACTACCTTCATCTTGTATCTTTTGTTCAGTTTAATTACGATACCTACCACCCTTTCATTAATGCTGTAGTATTCCTCTATGTTGCCAGCTATGTTTCTGTGAATTAGGAACCCCACTCCCAGTTCTCTTCTGTCTGCCAAGCCCCTGTAGCAAAGGACGTGCCCATTCTGTAGCACCGCATAGGCCTCATCTGTCCTCCTAACCTCACTGAGCCCTATTATATCCCATTTAACACCCTCTAGCTCCTCGAATAGTACAGCTAGACTTCCCTCACTAGATAAGGTTTGGAGAGCATGCAAAGGGGCAAAGCTGCTGGTGAGGATCAGGTAACATCAGATCTGCTGAAAGATGGAGGACAGATTGTGTTAGAAAAACTACCGTATAATGCGGAATATAGGTCGAGGCGGAATATAGGTCGACCCCCTTACCTTGACCAGCAAAAAAAAAAAAAGAAAAACGCGGAATCGTTCACTGCTTCACTTTAGTCAGTCCTCACAGTCCTCCGAGCTGTCGGAGCTCTCCGACGACGACGACTGCTTGTCACTAGCCGCCTCCCACAGCATGTCGTCCTCGGTGCCGTCGAGAGCGTTGCTGATGCAGCACTTCTTGAATGCGCGCACCACCATCTCTTCAGGCAGAGACCTCCATGCCTCGGAGACCCAACCACAAACTGTCGCGAGAGGTGGCCTGCGCAGCCGGCCTGTCGGGGTCCGCGGGTTGTCGCCAGCCATCCATTCGGTGTACAGCGCACGCACACGGTCTTTAAAAGGTTTATTGAGGACGACGTCCAACGGTTGAAGTGTTGATGTCATTCCTCCCGGAATGACGACAAGATCCGTCCTTCCGTCGCGAAGGCTCTCCTTCACCGATGCTGTCAAATGCCCGCGAAATGCATCCAACACGAGCATGTTCCGGCGCTGCAGGAGGGCTCCGGGCCGCCGGTTCCACACTGTGCGGATCCATTCGCGCATTAGGGCCTCGTCCATATACCCCTTCTCGTTGACGCGGACGACGACATCCCGCGGGAAGGCCTCCTTCGGCATCGTCTTCCGCTTGAAGATTATGAAGGGGGGCAACTTTCTGCCGTCGGCCGTGCAGCAAAGCATAACGGTGAAGCGCGAATGCTCGCTACCGGTCGACAAAAGCCTCACCTCTTTTGCCCCGCGTTCACAAACAGTCGTGGACGACGGCATGTCAAACCACACCGGCGTTTCGTCGGCGTTGCCGATCTGGCCTAGCATGTAGCCATGCTGCCGCCGGAGGTTGTTCACATAGAGTTGAAACTCTATCAATTTGTCCTCGTACATCTCCGGCAGCTTCTGGCATATCGACGTGCGCCGTCGAAGCGCAAATCCTTTGCGTCGCATAAAGCGACGGACCCAATAAATGGATCCCTTGAAGTCTTTCTTTGACAGGCCGGCTTCACGGGCGAGCTCGACGGCTTTTGAGCGAATGAGCTCCGCATTCACGGGAAGGGATTTGGCACGGTA